ACTCAGTAACAATTCTGTCTGTCCCTGAGTATGAATTCTGTGCCCTGAGTAACAATTCTGTGTCTGTGCGAGTAACAATTCTGTGTCTGTGCAAGTAACAAATGTTTGTGTCTGTGCAAGTAACAATTCTCTGGCACTCAGTAACAATTTCTGTCTGTCCCTGAGTAACAATTCTCTGGCACTCAGTAACAATTCTGTCTGTCCCTGAGTAACAATTCTCTGGCACTCAGTAACAATTCTGTCTGTCCCTGAGTAACAATTCTCTGCACTCAGTAACAATTCTCTCCTGAGTAACAATTCTGTCTGTCTGTCCCTGAGTAACAATTCTCTGGCACTCAGTAACAATTCTGTCTGTCCCTGAGTATGAATTCTGTGGCCCTGAGTAACAATTCTGTGTCTGTGCGAGTAACAATTCTGTGTCTGTGTCTGTGCAAGTAACAATTTTGTGTCTGTGCGAGTAACAATTCTCTGGCACTCAGTAACAATTCTGTCTGTCCCTGAGTAACAATTCTCTGGCACTCAGTAACAATTCTGTCTGTCCCTGAGTAACAATTCTCTGGCACTCAGTAACAATTCTGTCTGTCCCTGAGTATGAATTTGTGGCCCTGAGTAACAATTTCTGTGTCTGTGCGAGTAACAATTCTGTGTCTGTGCAAGTAACAATTTTGTGTCTGTGCGAGTAGTAGTAACAATTCTCTGGCACTCAGTAACAATTCTGTCTGTCCCTGAGTAACAATTCTCTGGCACTCAGTAACAATTCTGTCTGTCCCTGAGTAACAATTCTCTGGCACTCAGTAACAATTCTGTCTGTCCCTGAGTAACAATTCTCTGGCACTCAGTAACAATTCTGTGTCTGTAACAATTCCCTGCGAGTAACAATTCTGTCTGTCCCTGAGTAACAATTCTGTCTGTCCCTGAGTAACAATTCTGTCTGGCACTCAGTAACAATTCTGTGTCCCTGAGTAACAATTCTCTGGCACTCAGTAACAATTCTGTCTGTCCCTGAGTAACAATTCTCTGGCACTCAGTAACAATTCTGTCTGTCCCTGAGTAACAATTCTCTGGCACTCAGTAACAATTCTGTCTGTCCCTGAGTAACAATTCTGTCTGTCCCTGAGAATGAATTCTGTGGCCCTGAGTAAGAATTCTCTGGCACTCAGTAACAATTCTGTCTGTCCCTGAGTAACAATTCTCTGGCACTCAGTAACAATTCTGTCTGTCCCTGAGTAAAAATTCTGTGGCCCTAATAACGTTTCTGTGGCCCTAAGTAACAATTCTCTGGCACTGAGTAAAATTCTGTCTGTCCCTGAGTATGAATTCTGTGGCCCTAACTAGCGTTTCTTTGTCCCTAAATAACGATTCTGTGGCCCTCATTAACAAGTCTGTGTCCCTGAGTAATGGTTCTCTGTCCCTAAGTAACTTCTCTCTGTCCCCAATTCTCGTTTCTGTGGCCCTAACTCTGTCCCTGTCCCTAGTACAGAGCGGTCTGCCTCTGTTCAATGACTGCAGGCAAATGAAGATTTCCAAAATGGCCGCTATATATATACCTCGACCATTACACAGTGCTGGCTGGCTGGCTGCTGATTGGCTGATGCGATCACATGTCGTTGAGGAATGCATTATGGGGCAGCGCGCCTTGTCTGCGCGCCTTCCCCGACATCCCCGCTCCGTCGCCGCACATGTCAGCCGCCATTTTCGGAAAAATTTCGATTCGCGCGTCCGAATTAGGCTGTTTTTCGGATTCGGCACGAATCGAAATTTTTTTTCCGATATTCGACTCGAATTCCACTTCGGATACTTCGATTTTGTGGTGTTCAGATGCAGTGCAGTTCCACTTTTAATGATTTTTCACTTTTTTTCACCAAGCGCTTGACTTTCCGAGGGATCAGATTGATTGCATCCCTTGTCCCAGAAATCCCATTTATTGTAATGATCACCTTGAACGGTGGATCCCTCATGTTTTGTGAGATTCGGATGATGTAGATGGGTCGGCACCAGACACCACTTAGTCATTTGTATCTTTATTTCTGTCTGCTCACAGGCACATTGCTGGGCGTGTAACGGGGACTGGATGTCGCTTTCGGGATTCCTGCCACCACTGCAGAGGACATGGAACAGAAAGATAGGTGCTGAGATTAGTAATAATGGCCCTATGGTCAGTGAAGCCTCAGGTGCAAACCATATCCCCTGCCATTGAAGGCAGCAGATGGTAAAGCTGGTCTCAGGGCAAAGAGTTCTCACATTACCCCTATGACTTCATTCTAGGACCACCCCAACCTGTAGAGCCTCCTCGAACCAATGAAAATAAGAAATAAATTGTTTTTGGTCCCTTCATGTCATATGTTAATATTAACCACTTCTAAACTTCTCTAACCTCCTCCTTTGACCTGAATCAATGGATACACAATTAATGGGTACACAATGGATACACAATGGATACACAATGGATACACAATGGATACAGGCTTCTACTCACTCTGATGGCTACACCCTTCACATTGTCTTCTCCTACCTCTGCACTCCATGCAACGTCTCCATTAATCCTTCTCCTCTCTCTAATCACCACCCATATTAGCTTCACTGTCTCCTTCTCTTCCACTTCCTCTCCCTCCAACCACCTAACAATTACCAAAGGAACCTTCCGTCACCTTAACCGTTATCTTCTCTGCAACAGACTGCCTCTATGACAAAATCTCACCCCTGTTCTGCCCCAACGTGGCCACTTCTGTCTACGACTGTTCACTGTCATCCCCCCTGGACACAGTCACCCCCATCACTACACATAGAATCAGGCCCCGACCCCTACAACCTTGGAAAAGATACCAGATACCTCAAAAAAACAGCCGTGCTCTTGAGCAGGGGCAGACTGACAACTCATGGGGCCCCTGGGCAATAGGGGATCATGGGGCCCCTGTGGCCTTGCCCAAACTCAAAAAAAGCCTATGAAAAAGGTACCAGGGGCATCTCATGGGGCCCCCTACTGACCCCCGGCCCTCGGGGGCAGTACCCGAGTTTCCAAATGGTCAGTCCGTCCCTGCTCTTGAGCACCTGTGGCATAAGACTAAGTCTACGAAAGTCTTCAACCAATATAAATCTACCCTCCAAAAATACAATTCCTGCCTCCTCTTTGCCAAGCAGACCTATATATAATCACTCTCATTAACACCTTCCCATCCAGCCCCTGCCAACTCTTCTCTACCTTCATCCTCCACTGCCTCCACCCACTAACTCACTCACTGCCCAGGGGATCGCCAATCACTCCAAAAATAAGATTCATACAATTCATGGTGAAATCTCAACCCTACAGATATCCCTCCCACTTAATACCCCTATCCACAGGTACACTCAACACTTCCCTTATTCAACCTTGTTACTAAATACAACGTTCTAAACATTTTTCTAATGCCTACGGAGACGGACCACCTGGAAACCCCACCTGGGTGCTTCCGTCAGAGAACTGCTTCCTCACAGCTGGGACACAGGACCAAGGCATTATAGCTGGGCATCGTGCCCAAGGACTAGGCAGCACTATCTTAGGTACAAAAATGGAACTATTTATTGAACAGAAATACATGTTTTTATACACTCAGAAATAGGGGCAGTCCCCACATGAGCAATAAAAACAATATATTACACATTGGGATAAACATCCCACACTTGATTAGATAAAGAGGTAAAGATGACACAAGACTAATCCCATCATGTAGGAACCTCCAGGAGGACTAGCCAACAGACAGAAACAATAGGTGGCTCAATTAATTCAGTTATCAATGAGACAAATACACAACGGTAATAGAATCACACCTTAATAAACAGATTACAGCAAGAGACCTCACATCAGGTTGTTTTGAGCTGTTTATATTAACATCTACTCTGAGTCTCTGAGTCTAGGGAAGGGGGGGTGGGGGGGAGTTGAAGCAGTCAATGCTGGTTTGGGCACAGAGACCCTAAATCTGTATCCTGGTCCTCCAGTTCTCAGTTTGTGTGTTTTGGGAAGACATGGACTTGAATTCAAGGTAAAATTACATCACAAAGGTTTCCCCAGGCACATACCTCCCAAAGAATAGTGACCCCTCAAACTCCAGGGCTCATAGTCAGTAGGCAAGATGCTAGCCTACAGTCCCCTCCGGAAGCCTCTGTCCCGGTTGGGTCTGTCACACCCACCTAACCACCTACCCCCCTGGACCCTATTCCCTCCCCAAAAACTGCGGTCACCCTATGGCTCTAACCTACACTCTCTAACTCACATCTTCAATCTCTCCCTCTCTTCTGGCATCTTCCCCAACTCTCTAAAACAAGCACTAGTCACCCCTATTCTCAAAACGCCCTGACTGGACCCCACAAATCTTAACAACCTACACCCCATCTCCTTGTTCCCTTTACCTTTAAACCCCTTGAACTCCTGGTCTACAACCAACTGAGCGACAATCTCACTGAGAACAACCCCCCCAACATCCCCTTCAGTCTGGATTTCACCCTCAACACTCCACAGAAGCTGCTCTCCTAAAACTCACCAGGAATCTCCTAACGGCTAAAACCAATGGAAAATATTCCAAATCCTGGACCTCTTTGCTGCATTTGACACAGTGGACCACCCCCTCCTCCCCAAAAAACTCCACTCTTTGGGTCTCTGTGCCTCTAGTCTTTGCTGGTTCTCATCCTACCTCTGTCACTGCACCTTTAGCATTACAATTCTACCTCTTCTCTTCCATTCTATTCTAGGAGGACACCCAAATCTATCTCTCTACACCTCAGCTCACCTCCTCTTCACTTATCACTGATTTACTGTCAGTCACACCATTTCATCGAACCCAATCTATCCAAACTGAGCTCATGATATTTATTTCCCTTGACGTCTCAATCAACGGCACAACTATCAACCCGTCTCCGAGGTTCTACGTGTAATCCTGGACTCCAAACTATCTTTTCGGCCCCACATCCAATCATTTTCCAAAGCTTGCTGACTCAACCTCCGCAACGTCTCCAAAATACACCCCTTCCTGACCAATGGCACCACTAAGCTTCCAATCCACTCCCTGGTCATCTCTCACCTCGAATACTGCAACTCCCTCCTCATTGGTTTACCTTTAAATAGGTTATTCCCCCCCATCATGAATGCTGCTGCCAGACTCATCCACCTTACCAACCGTAAGGTGCTACCCCTCTATACAAATCCCTCCACTGGCCTCCATTCCAGGTCTTCCACCCCTCTCTACCAATCCCTCCACTGGCCTCCATTCCAGGTCTTCCACCCCTCTCTACCAATCCCTCCACTGGCCTCCATTCCAGGTCTTCCACCCCTCTCTACCAATCCCTCCACTGGCCTCACCATTCCAGGTCTTCCACCCCTCTCTACCAATTCCTCCACTGGCCTCCACTCAGTGTCCTCCACCCCTCTCTGCCAATCCCTCCACTGGCCTCCATTCAGTGTCCTCCACCCCTCTCTGCCAATCCCTCCACTGGCCTTCACTCAGTGTCCTCCACCCATTTCTGCCAATCCCTCCACTGGCCTCCATTCAGTGTCCTCCACCCCTCTCTACCAATCCCTCCACTGGCCTCCATTCCAGGTCTTCCACCCCTCTCTACCAATTCCTCCACATGGCCTCCATTCAGTGTTCTCCACCCCTCTCTACCAATCCCTCCACTGGCCTCCATTCAGTGTCCTCCACCCCTCTCTGCCAATCCCTTCATTGGCCTCCATTCAGTGTCCTCCACCCCTCTCTGCTAATCCCTCCACTGGCCGCCATTCAGTGTCCTCCACCCCTCTATGCCAATCCCTCCTCCACTGGCCTCCATTCAGTGTCCTCCACCCCTCTATGCCAATCCCTCCACTGGCTGCCACTCACCCAATAAATTTAAATTCAAAATACTAATGACAAAGACAAAGCCATCTACAACTCGGCTCCCAGCTACTAACGTAGCCTTAAAATACCAACCCAACCATATTCTTTGTTCCTCTCAAGACCTCCTCCTCCCATGCTTGCCTCCAGGACTTCTCCTAAGTCACTCCCATCCTCTGGAACTCTCTACCACCCTGATCTGTACAACCGCCCCTACTCTGTCCACTTTTAGGTTAACCCTGAAAACCATCTCTTCAGAGAAGCCTATCCTGGCCCCACCTAACAACTGAATCTTTTATTTTCTCCATCCGCTTGTCTCTCACAGTTATTACCTTTTGTATCACTTGATCCTCCCTTTAGATTGTAAGTTCTGAGGATCAGGGCCCTCTGAATCCTCTTGTTCTGAATTATATTGTATGTGAACTATCTGCCCTCATGTTGTAAAGCTCTGTGGAAACTGTTGGCGCTATATAAATCCAGAATGATATAATAATGACAATGACCTGAGTTGCCTGGACCCGGCCCGGCGCTGACTTCCAGGAGAAGTCCATTGATTTTCATGGAGAGAAATGACTTCTGTTGATCAGTTTACAGTTCCGTCTGTTCTGCTTTCTGGTAAATAAATGTCCTTGTCCCCCACAGCTGCATCAGATACGTGACGTGTGAGGGCTGCATGGGGCTGTGGGCAGATTCTGAATTACATACAGATGACAGTCAGCTGGTAAGAGTGGCGTTGTTTACAAGGGTGTCATCAGTTCAGACTGGAGGGCAGATTATCTGCTACACTCCTTCTTCTCCGGGGAATTCCCCCATAGACAATTCATTGTTCCGATACCAGATCCACCGTACAATGCAGATCTCCCGGGGGGAATGGAAGTCCACAAACCAGATTCTCCAACTATTTCCATCAGTAAGAGGGACATGTTGTCTTCTCATGATGTCTGATATTTCAGCTTGTCGGCACCGTGAATTGGTTATGTTGTGCGTTAATGTGCATTGCGGATAGGAGCCTCTTCATGTTACCAATGCACCGCAATAGACCTTCATACCTGTTCATGTTACCAATCCACTGCACCCGTGTTACATACTACTGACCCCTGCACTGTGTGTGTGTTTACATTCTACTGACCCCTGCACTGTGTGTTACATACTACTGACCCCTGCACTGTGTGTGTGTTACATTCTACTGACCCCTGCACTGTGTGTGTGTTACATTCTACTGACCCCTGCACTGTGTGTGTGTTACATTCTACTGACCCCTGCACTGTGTGTTACATACTACTGACCCCTGCTCTGTGTTACATACTCCTGACTCCTGCACTGTGTGTTACATACTACTGACCCCTGCACTGTGTTACATACTACTGATCCCTGCACTGTGTGTGTGTTACATACTACTGACCCCTGCACTGTGTGTGTGTTACATTCTACTGACGCCTGCACTGTGTGTTACATACTACTGACCCCTACTCTGTGTGTTACATACTCCTGACTCCTGCACTGTGTGTTACATACTACTGACCCCTGCTCTGTGTTACATACTACTGACCCCTGCTCTGTTTTACATACTCCTGACTCCTGCACTGTGTTACATACTCCTGAACCCCTGCACTGTGTGTTACATACTACTACTGACCCCTGCACTGTGTGTGTGTTACATTCTACTGACCCCTACTCTGTGTGTTACATACTACTGACCCCTACTCTGTGTGTTACATACTCCTGACTCCTGCACTGTGTGTTACATACTACTGACCCCTACTCTGTGTTACATACTCCTGACTCCTGCACTGTGTTACATACTACTGACCCCTGCATTGTGTTACATATACTACTGACCCCTGCACTGTGTGTTACATACTACTGACCCCTGCACTGTGTGTTACATACTACTGACCCCTGCTCTGTATGTTACATACTACTGACTCCTGCACTGTGTTACATACTCCTGACCCCTGCACTGTGTGTTAGTAGTATGTAACACAGAGCAGGGGTCAGTAGTATGACCCCTGCTCTGTGTTACATACTCCTGACTCCTGCACTGTGTGTTACATACTACGGACCCCTGCACTGTGTGTTACATACTCCTGACTCCTGCCTGTGTGTTACATACTACTGACCCCTGCTCTGTGTTACATACTCCTGCCCCTCCACTGTGTGTTACATACTACTGACCCCTGCACTGTGTTACATACTCCTGACTCCTGCACTGTGTGTTACATACTACTGACCCCTGCACTGTGTTACATACTCCTGACCCCTCCACTGTGTGTTACATACTACTGACCCCTGCACTGTGTTACATACTCCTGACCCCTCCACTGTGTGTTACATACTACTGACCCCTGCACTGTGTTACATACTCCTGACTCCTGCACTGTGTGTTACATACTACTGACCCCTGCTCTGTGTGTGTTACATACTACGGACCCCTGCACTGTGTGTTTCATACTACTGACCCCTGCTCTGTGTTACATATTCCTGACTCCTGCACTGTATGTTACATACTACTGACCCCTGCACTGTGTGTTACATACTACTGACCCCTGCTCTGTGTTACATGCTCCTGACTCCTACACTGTGTGTTACATACTACGGATCCCTGCACTGTGTGCTACATACTACTGACCCCTGCACTGTGTGTTACATACTACTGACCCCTGCTCTGTGTTACATATTCCTGACTCCTGCACTGTATGTTACATACTACTGACCCCTGCACTGTGTGTTACATACTACTGACCCCTGCTCTGTGTTACATGCTCCTGACTCCTACACTGTGTGTTACATACTACGGATCCCTGCACTGTGTGCTACATACTACTGACTCCTGCACTGTGTCTTACATACTACTGACCCCTGCTCTGTGTGCTACATACTACTGACTCCTGCACTGTGTCTTACATACTACTGACCCCTGCACTGTGTTGCATACTCCTGACCCCTGCTCTGTATGTTACATACTCCTGACCCCTGCTCTGTGTGTTAAATACTACTGACCCCTGCTCTGTGTGTTAAATACTACTGACCTGCCATGCTCTGTGTGTTAAATACTACTGACCCCTGCTCTGTATATTACATACTACTGACCCCTGCTCTGTATGTTAAATACTACTGACCCCTGCTCTGTATGTTAAATACTACTGACTCCTCCTCTGTGTGTTACATACTACTGACCCCTGCTCTGTGTATTACATACTACTGACTCCTACACTCGAATCCCCTGGTGATCAGACTGTACAAAGTAACACACAGTACAAGGTGAGAGGCTGCAGCAGGGGCTGATATGTGTCAGACATTTGTGAACAAAACCAAGAACTGCACAGGCACCAGGATGTACATGATTGTGTCATCTCTGAGCCGCCATCTCAGTCCAGGAAGTAGATGGTGACCCTGGATGATGCCGGAACAAAGATGGCGCCGCCCTTCTGGAGAGAAAAGCAGGTGAGGACATTTTCACGGGGGAGTCCTGTGATCTCTGTGGAAGGTGAACTGATGGAGGCAGGAGAGGGGTAGTAGTAAAGCACAATCATTATGGGGGGGGGGGTAGTATCTCCAAGGGGGGAAGCAGAACCTGCATCTGTTACTAATGCATTATGGGGGGGGGTGGGGGTATTATGACATTATGGGGGGTATTATGACATTATGGGGGGGTATTATGACATGGGGGGTATTATGGGGGGGTATTATGACATTATGGGGGGGGGGTTGTTATGACATTATGGGGGGTATTATGACATTATGGGGGGGGTATTATGATGTTATGGGGGTATTATGACATGTTATGGGGGGTATTATTGCATTATATGGGGGGGTATTATGACATTATGGGGGGTATTATGACATTATGGGGGGGGTATTATGACATTATGGGGGGTATTATGACATTATGGGGGGGTATTATGACATATGGGGGGTATTATGACATTATGGGGGGTATTATGACATTATGGGGGGTATTATGACACTATGGGGGGTATTATGACATGACTATGGGGGGGTATTATGACATTATGGGGGGGTATTATGACACTATGGGGGGTATTATGACATTATGGGGGGTATTATGACACTATGGGGGGTATTATTACATTATGGGGGGGTATTATGACATTATGGGGGGTATTATGACACTATGGGGGGGGTATTATGACATTATGGGGGGTATTATGACATTAAGCGGGGAGGTTTTATTTCTGGTGATTTTCTCTCGGATTCCAGGAAGAACAACATTTATGAGTTTATAATGGAGCACAACTCAGAATTCCCGACAGATCTCTTCCGGAAGGTGAACGGGGAGAAGGTGTTCACAGACGAGCAGATCCTGGTAATAGAAATCTGTTTCATAGTAGAGGAGTCTCCACCCCTTTCTGTGTTCAGTAGTTCAGGGGAGACTGGTCTGAGGAGGGTCTTGTAGATCCATGCAGCCTATCTGGGGACTGGTCTGAGGAGGGTCTTGTAGATCCATGCAGCCTATCTGGGGACTGGTCTGAGGAGGGTCTTGTAGATCCATGCAGCCTATCTAGGGACTGGTCTGAGGAGGGTCTTGTAGATCCATGCAGCCTATCTGGGGACTGGTCTGAGGAGGGTCTTGTAGATCCATGCAGCCTATCTGGGGACTGGTCTGAGGAGGGTCTTGTAGATCCATGCAGCCTATCCGGAGACTGGTCCGAGGAGGGTCTTGTAGATCCATGCAGCCAGAACAGGACTGGAGCTCCTTTTTGCTGAGCAATATACAAACCTATAAGGAAAGAAGAATCCAGTTTTAGGTGGATGCTGATTGGTTGAATGTTTCTACTGGAGTATCTGTCAGGAAAGGAGTGAGATGTTCCCAGCTGCAGCAAGTGAAAGCCCAGAAGGGGAGTCTCACTCCCCCGGCCCCATTCTTTTATACTATAGTGAGTGATAACTGGAAGTCTGCATAGTGGGGTGCAGGGCCGTGGACGAGGGGGGAACCACCAGTCCTCCTGTATGGGACTCAGGCAGCTGGGCGATTTTGATGT